TCGTTCATTCGTTTTGGATGACGTTTAATACAAACTTTAGGAAGTGGTAGTTTCAACTCGTTGTAAACGGCCACCACGTGTTCATGACATTTGGTAATGAAACGAGAGGCTTTCATGTTTACATTTTTCTCCAATTTAGTAAGCCTGAAGTGATTTTCGGCTGAGAAATTAACAAGGTGTTGTTTTTGCGGAGTTAAAAGGGTTGTCCACAAAGGCGCATAAGGGAGGATTTCTTTCATTAGGTAAGTACAAAATTCCAGGGACTGATGAGGATTCTTCTTCTCTCGTTGAATGTGATTCTTGATATTAACTTTGACTCTATCTTGTATTTTTTTGAAATGCGTAAAAAATGGACTTTTTTCATATTTTGATGTGGCCTGATTATTTGAACATTCCTCCGTTTCCAACTTGATGCAAGTCTCCTCTCTCTCTGAACCCAGTAAGATACTTGCTTTCCCGAGATTTGCGAAGGCTGCAGTCACGTTCTGAGTTTCAGTTGGCGATTCTAGTATAATTAGAAAAGACTCGACCATCGAACTCATCGAAACGAAATCTTTACTATGGGCAATCAGAGCTATACTTTCTAAGTATATTTTGATTGTAGCCACGTCGGGTTTCTTTTGGTGAAGCCATCGTGAGATCATTTTCATGAAATGAGCATAGCACATGAAATGGCGAATTACGTGAATAATTAGAGGAATCTTATTCGTGATCGCATTGAATGTCAATTCTAAATATTCGATTACCGTTAAACCATTCCAAGCTCCCATTATGCCAGTTATGCTAGCCCAAGACCAATCAGTGACGAATGAATTGAATGGAGGCCATGAAACTTTGTTATCCTCCCAATAATCTCGGATAAATTTACCAAAGTCCCTGATTGACGAAGTGGTGTGCTCGTTGGTCACATATTCGAGAAGAGGTAAGAGTTTATTGTTAACGTTTACAACTCCGCAATAATAATATACTCTCTTAGATTGTGCAAACGGCCTCTTCACAGTCGAGCCTGTGGCATCAAAATACAAAGTCAGCCCAGAATTATTTTGTAAAAAAGATATTTGTTCTTGACATCCTAAGTAAATTTTGAATGGAGCAATGAACTGCCGGATATGGGGATGTAGGATCATAGTGGTCGTCAATAAATAAATGCAAAAGTAACTATTTAAAAAAAGAACTTTGATAATAAAAAGATAACAATTTGGTACATTAAATTAGAGCTAACACTGCACTGTGATTTGAAAGTGTCTCTTCTCTCTGAAAACTCAAAACGAACTAACTTTCAACTCCTCCAAACTCGATTTTCTCGCGTTCTATGCGTCCTAGCGCAAAAATACGCCCAGATTCGTAAAGGACGCGACGAGACGCATCGATTTCATTTATCGAAAAGTCGATTTTCGCGATTTTTTTTTTTTTAGAAAAACTCGATT